GTCAACGCCATTTGGAATAAACGCCCACACCCGCGAAGTCATCGCAGTTTTGCTTTCCAAAAGGCGTTGCTAAATGCACTGATTTTTTTTGTGAAGTTGCATTTTTAATGCCTGCATTGTTAAACCTTTTGAGAAGTAATTAATGTTTCTTGATATTTTCTTTATATAAGGACCAGAGCACCTGAAAATTAAGTATTAGCCTCACGTTTAATGAAAAAAATGCTTCATCTCTAGCCCTGGCAGAAATGTGTGAGGAATTTAATTATGGATTTTGCAGAAATGAATGTCAAGTACTATGTTCTTCATATCCATTCTTGTAAGATGCTCCTCAGCGCAATAAAAGCTTCTCTCGTACGTCTTTCTAACCTAAATCCGAATGGATCTTCAGCCCAATTTTGTTCAATTTTACCTTTTATTCGGTTTTTTATTATTGCGATGAGAATTTTGGCAGCATGGGATATTAGAGAAATTGTTCTATAATTTTCGCATGACGTTGTGTTTCCTTTCTTATGTATGATACTGATTGTGCTTTCTGCAACTTGGCGATTAATTAGCAATTAATAATTTGAGAGTTTCCGTGGAGCTACGATCCGACTTTAACTTATGTGTGTGCTGACTTGACGCGTCAAGCAAGCTCACGCCTGTTTTCGCCTCGAAAACACTTGCGATTAATTCCAAATAGTGGAAATTAATTAGCTATAAATCATTTGACATGTTTCATTCGGGTGAGCTGACACGGCCGTTCCAGCTTGACACAATTGATGAGATGGACTTTTCATAATGATACTAGATTCGTATGCTTTTATATGGCAATATATTGGATGGATCCTGAACTAGGATGTTCAATTTACATGTGAAATTATCCTTGCTCGTCTGCTGCAATTAATGCGAGCTGCAAGGGATTTTCCAGGGTGACTCTTTAAGCCCTTTATTGTTCTGCTTAGCCTTGAATCCCCTGTCTACTTTGCATTGCGCGGCCATCACATTCATTTGTTATTTCAAGTCGCTGACATACTCCTTTGCGTTTTACATGAGCAATACCGACTTCGACACGCTCAGCAGGACAATTCTTTTTTTTCTTTTCCCCAAACCCTATGACTCGACACCGAAAACATGCATCCCCATTCAAGTACTGAGCGTTTACCCTTCAAGGTCGCAAGGGAGGCCGAGATTGTAGATCCACAGCTCTCAACATTTGACTTCACTCAGAAATAACTTCTTGGAACATGTGGGAGAGTTCGCAAGACAGCTGAGCGCAGTTAGATTAATAACTATAGCCCTGACACTTCGAGAAAAGCTGGCACCGCCTGTTTCAACCAATTATTGAACGAGAGAAACTCTCCTTAGAAAGCGAGGCATTGCATGGAAGGTACCCTTCACGACCTGATAATCAGATCAGACATCTCTTGTGCGCACGAATGGCTTCCAGCACGGATCTCTTCCAGAGACAGAAGCTTACATGAAGCTATCCAGCCAGTGGTACCCAAACAATAACTACAGAAAAACATTCTGAGAATTCTACCATCATTGTGTGTGTGTTTGTTACGACTCGTGTAAAGATGTGAGGCTGCAAGGCGAAACTATCAACACGTAGACCAAGTGATGTCGCAGCCACGCACTCAGTTCGAATACAAAAGAGCATGATGAAGCTGCGCGAAGCACGGTCACAATTATTAGGCCCCTTGACAACGGGCATTACTGCCAACTTCCGGCAACGTATCACTATAAAATAGTGCCTCAGAATGCTCGTCTTGAAGAATAGTGAGCACACACACTCTAATGAGATCGCTCCATTAATCACTGACAGACATGTCGCGGCAATAGACCCCCGATAACGTACCATTGATAGAAACGTCAGCAGGTTTTCCTTTCGATATATCAATACCCAATACCCAACAACATCATCGAGGAAAATATCAACAGAAGATCCAGAATATACGATCTCGCCCATGAAGTCGGCATCTCAATGGAACTTCAGATAAACGGAACAAATTGCTTAATAATATGCAGCTACAGGAGTGTATCCAAAAAATGACCTTTTCGGCACTAGGAGGGTCTATCAATGAGATGCCAGGAATGTATACATAATATTGCAAAAGGTGTAATTTGAATACATTGCCTGCTTATTGTCAGAAGCCATTTCTGCGAACCTTCAGTAAAGCAACCACACACCTGTCATCTCCTGTGTGTGGTGTCATACGACCATAGATATCTGCTGAATAATGTAT